ACACACTCCCCCCCCCCCCCCCCCCACTCACACACACACACACACAGACTAGACCTCACTGTACTGTTTTTCATTTTCTCTTTTGCCATCTTTTCCTGGCTCTCCGACTGCCTTTTGTGCATACATAAAAACCAACACTGCATGCTGTGAAGTTTTCCATTAACGTGGCTTCATACACTGCTGTCACTTTACACACTTGCTCTAGGAAATAGAAGGAAGAAGAAGAATGTTTGAAAGAGAAAAAGAGAAGCCTGTCCCTGCACACAGCATTCCTCACTTCAGTGAATTTAATCTGGGAGCTAAATTAGTTCAGAATGCTATTATAGGTGGACGGATGCATTAGAGAAAATGAGAACAGGATTGATCAATTGATAGCTGGACAGATGACTTGACAGAAGCACAGATAGTTTTCTTTGTGTGTGTGTGTGTGTCTGAGGTAAGCACTGTGCATACTCACTTTCTTATTCATTGTATTCCATTATGATTTCCTCTTCTGCTTGAGCAATGAATTTTTTGATAGTTGTTGTATAAGTCCAATATGTGACAGTCAGTCGAAATACAGCAAAGTGGAACTGAGCGCTCTAAATATGATCTTGTCTTTTGATTTTCATGCATTCTTTAGCTAGGCTACAGCTGCATTTCTGTGTATGTCATTAGTTTGTGCTGATGTGTTTCAGGCTGAATACCCCATTTTGTCATGCATGCGTTAGCATGGCCTTCATTTCTAATCATGTATAGAGCGGTAGCTATGGCATAGGTAGCCATATGGGATTGTCTTGTCATTGTGTCAATATGACATGGCTTAGCCAGTATAGCTGAGGGGGTTCAGCTTGTTTGCTTTCTCAACATGCTCTTGCATCTAATTTCAAGAATGCCTTGTAGGCATCAGGCATGAAAGACCCGCAAAGGTTTTATGTACAGACTGCAGGTTTTTCCCTCGCAGCCATTCAGCAGAGCTTTGTAAACGGCTGTTTTTAAGTTCAGATTTCGGAAAGCCTGTTTCATCTATCAAAAAAAAAGGCAGAGGCTTGTCTTAGGTGGTGCTCCACATGAGTGCTGGCAGTGCGGCAGCAGGGAGAAACATGATCCTAATGTTTGAAAGATGCAACCGTTGAGAAGTCATTTCACTAATGGTAAAGATTGGAGGATTGGCAGTGGCACAGATACACAAGTGTCACTTTACTTATAAACAAAAATCAGAGGCATATTTTCCTGTTCATTTGTAAAGTGCCACTTGAAGACAGTCACTGCTGTGCTCCTGACAAATTATAAGATGGCTAAAGAGCATGCAAGTCAAGAACATGTGGACAACTTCATCACTTAGTATTGTGTTGCATTCAGTGGAAAGAAAAAGTATGTGAACCTTTTAGCAATACCTGTTTTTTTCATCAATTGGTCATAAAATGTGATCTGATCTTCATCTAAGTAACAAAAGTAGCTACAGCACTAAATTGTCTGCATTTACAGACAGGTTGACTGACTATGGACTGAAGAATACATGTAGACTCTTTTAGATTCATGCATAACTCTTTCCAGTGTTGTACAGATGTACAATTCTTGATCACAAATCTTCTGAGATCTTTTTTATGTGCAGATGCTCAGATTAGAAGATTTTGGATGAGGATCTGGCCATATGTTAAGATACACTGACACCTAAATACAGGTGATTACACCGGGTTCACATCGTTGTGCTTCTGAATGTGATGGGTTCTGCCATGCACAATATGGCCTGACAGATGTATCTCGGGGCTGATATTATTGGCTTTTTTGGCTTATAGTTATAATGAACATATTACAATATATGGCTATGTGATATACATAGACATTTGAGTGGAATAAACTGCTGCAATAAATGTTGATAGGTTGCATTTGTATGAACACTATTTTACATTCATTACTATAAATTCCAGTTTACTGTATGAAACTGACATCTTCTATGTGAAGTTATATTGATCATTTGCTAATAAAGTTTAATATAAAGTATATTAGATTATAAAGCACACTGCCACAAACATTTTATGAACCAAGTTAATTTTTTTTACATTTATTATCCTCAAACACTAATACTGGTGTCAACCAAACTAGTTAGTCACACATCAAATTGCTTTTTCAAGATGATAACATGCCAGAGGAAAAAAAACATTATTTGTTATAGCAATACAAAGCCCAAAATATGATCAATTGCACACATAGCCATTTTTGATTGTAACCACAATTATCCCCATAGAAATGTGTTGCCAGTGTGCCACAACCTCCCACTCCTGCAGCATATTCTTTGAACTGGCTCAGTTTTACAGCAACTTTTCACAGGGGCTGAGTGGGCAGCTTGAACCACTGATGCATATACATACATCCACATATTGTAGCTCCAGGATGTGTTCAGATGTTATCTTTATCTTTTGCCAGGAGCATTCTAGCGTTAAAAAGTTTTCCCTCTACTTTGAACTCAGTTACTTAAATGTGTTGATGCAGTACTGATGTAATGCAAAGGAAGAAAATGGAAAAAAAAGTACTGTTGCAAACAGATGGCTTGATTGCACTCCGGTATAAGCTTTGAACACAGGAAGCTTTTCAACAGTTACTATGCCCTTGAAGCAAGAGTTGGAAGAAGCTGATAAACTTGGGTAGACAAGCACAGATGAAGAAGACCTCCCAGGACAGCTCTCTGTTGACAGAAACAAAAGCCACAGACAAGCTCTCAAAGGTCAGGAGCAGGTTGCGGTGATGTTTCCTGCACTTCTTCCTGCAGTTGTCAAGGTAGTGAGCTCAAACACAAGTGGCTTAACTGTCTTTGACTGGCTGAGTAATTTCAGAAGAGGTTGTGTTCAAGGTCATGAATGACAGGGGAACAGAAAATTCTCACATCTCTGACAAGGGATGTTGGTGGATTAGTTACACACCAAGCAGAAGGTTTTAATTGGACAGCTTTATTGTGTTTATTTTTGACAACTAGACAAAGAATTCTTCATAATCCGCTGCATGCATCACCTTCATCCCCACACCATGCACTATGGAAAGTAGTGCAGCCCCACAACCCAGCTGTCAGTTAACCACATATTGTATCTGCTGGGATCAACTGCTACTTGTCCCAGCTGCTTGTGACCTTAAGCCTCTGTTGCTGATGTGCAGGGGTCTGACAAGATGCTTTGGGAGCACTCATTTGCTGCTAATTCCCTGTCGCTATCAGTCTCTGACTCCTGACACATATACTGTACTGGGATGGACACATACACACAGTCCATTGGCGTTGCCTGCTGGGTTTATCTGAATGAAATGATTATCACACTTCAGTTAGCACATGTCACTGAGCCCTGCCTGTGTCTGCCATGTCCCTATCCCATGCTCAAACACTGACACTTACTGACAGTAACATCGGTCGCTTTATGCTAATGCACACTGGGGTGGATGTTGGAGTGTGGCTGCAGTTGTACGTCCACCCAGCGTTTATGTGTATTGGGTATGTTAATTCATTATCCATTTCTCCCTCCCTGTTCAGTCACAGCCACAACCCATATTCTCTGTGTCACAGTAGAAATTCTTTGGCCTGAACTGTATACTCCTCTCCGCAGAGAGTGGCAACACCTACCAGAGGCAGGTGCTGTCCATCTTCAGCATTGCCTCAGGGATCTGTCTTCTTGGAGTGGCATGTATGGCTCTCTACCACCGCAACAAGTGAGTGATGCCATCCAGCACCATATTAGTAGAGTATGCCCCTGGCTGTGGAGAAAGAGCACTTTACTATCATGGCATGGAGCCCAGTGAAATTCTAAGTGTGTGTCAGCTAGATTGTGCAGAATGCATTTGGGACAGATATTCATGTAAGATTTATTTGTAAAGTGGTTTTATCAAGCAGGCGTGTCACAAAATGCGGCACAAAAAACGCAAAATATACTGATAAAGCAAGAGCTAGAACAACTTCAAAAAGCATGTGTGTGGGACTGGACAAGAAGGTGCCAGGTAGCATAAAAGCAACCCTCCATAATCAATTACTCATTATAGGGATGACAAAAACAAAAAGAAAGAGAAGAAATGTAGGCAAAAAAAAAATGCAGATTGTAAAAATGTTGCCGGTGAGTTCAGTAGTACTGTGGCACTTTAAGCTTGTGCAGCAATCAGTCAGCATGACCAAAGTGTCCTCAGAGTTAAGGCATTATCCAAACCCAGGATCTCTTTTCCCCAAATGTTGTTTCACAGTGCATCGCTCAAGTAGATGGGTTTGTCTGCTAATACTTGGAGATTAACCATTAGTGTGGTTTCATCCTTGATTTTACTTGAAGGCTTTAAAGAGGAATAAGAGATAAGAGAGCTACTTCTACTTTTTTTTAAAGAGCCAAAGAATTGTAAGTTATATGTGGTTATAAAGTTTAGAAATTATGCAGGACATAATAGTGGGGCTACAAATCACTGTAGTGCTGATGCTTGCCAAATATCCACCGTTAGTTGCTGATTACCATTTTATTACTTTCTTAATAAGTACTGTGCTATACTGCACTGTGATATCTTCTATAATAACTGAGCATGGATGAATTAAAACATAAGCAGCCACTGAATATGTCTTGAACTGATTTCTTAGTGGTTAGTCACATGGTTTCTTCTCCTTTGTCAGTGGGTCCAAACCATCTGTCAGTTCAGTTTCTTTTCAAACTGTTTAGTCATTTGCTTCCTAAATTTTAACTTCTTGTTATTTCCTCTACTCAGGAAACATTTAACAGGCCTTGGCTGCAGAGAGAGTTCAGCAACCTTAAAAATGAACATTTAATGATGAATTAACATTTAATCCAAAAGTCTCAAGCACAAATTTAATTTTTAATTTAATTAAAGTTTAATCCAAAATGATTCATTTTTTTTATATTTAGCACAGCTGAAAAATGCCAGTTTAATTTTTGTTTCACATTTAGTTTGTTCATAAGCTTTTTTAAGGTTAAAAGAAAAGAATGGGGGGCATTTCTATTAATTAGTTGAAAAGATGGTGCCAGAAAACTGGAAGGCTGTTTAAGTCACTACTGGACCCAGCTCCATGGATGTGACTTGGATTATACATACATGCACATTATCCATACATACATACATACAGTACATGCATTTTCCTGATGGTCTAACTCTGCAAGGCAGGAATCCAAACTCTTTGGCTTCTTTACTTTTCCCCAGCGTATTATCACAAAGGCAAGCTATATCGCCTTGATTAAATTTTCACTTGCGCAAGACATCTTCTCTCCTAATGCTATTTTTGCAGCCTGTTTTGAGCACTTTTCAGCACCATCAAACCTTCGATTGCAGCCCTGGAAGAAAATGTCTGTAGTACATGTGAGTTGCAGCTTGACTGCTCTTTCTCTTGGCACTTTGATCTTTCAAGGTGCTCGTGTGTTCACAACTTTTGACAGATGTTTTCAGGTCTCACCGTTTCCCTGTAAGACAAATCAAAAGTCCCTAACTCACAATGATTTTTTTTGTAATCTTAGTCATAAAAGTAGCCATAAAACTATAGTTGTTCAGTCACATAGCTAAAATACAGTTGTTCTGAAGTGAAAGCCTTTCCATCCATCAGTAGCTGTGACAGTTTAAGGGCAGGGATTATCTCAAGGGTTGTATATAGTATGTGTGTGTGCACATGCAATTGTGTGTCAGGAATACAGGGTAGCAAGTCAATAAATATGATCACCTATCTTTCTGTTAAATGTGTATATAAAGAACTCAAAAGAGTCATAGGAATCAATGGCTGGACTAAAAACAGGCATCAATGTTTTCTCATTAGAGATATGGCAGGAAATATAGTGTAGCCCGTTTGTGTCTCATGGATTTTTTTAATGATGGTCTATGTTGTCATGAAATCAACTCCTATTCTGGATTACCTCTTTACTCTATTTGTAATTTTGCATCTTTCTCTTTTTCTGCATTTTGTTCCTCCGCAGGAGACAGAGGGAAAAACTCCAGGCTCATTTCTCTGATAGCCGTAGCCTGAGGGACTGCAGCATCAATGCCTCCAGCCTCATGTCCAGATCTACTCCTAGGATTCAGTACAGCCTTCAACTCCAAAAGGTGCATCTCTACTTATTAATGATATATTTCCCACCATATCTTAATCATCATTAGCATCATTTTCATCTTAATACTGTGTAAAGTGCTTCTCTGAAACAGAGTTTACTGGGTTCTTGTCAGGATGATGTATGATATATGTTTTAATAATCTCTCTACCGGCTGAAGCATTTTGTTCACTCTCATACCTGACGTGAGCTAAGAGACAGTGGTGAATTATAGCTTAAAATAAATACGTCATATATTACACAGGAGAAATTTGCTTGTCATGTTTACAATGACAGATTCCTGTGATGAGCTACAGATTGGAAATTCTAATTTGTGGTGTGTCGGGGATCCTGTGTTCACCATAGAAGTATAGCAACAGTACTGTGCAGTCCACAAATACTGTTCAATGGAACTTTGCTAGTGATGTCTTACAAAGAAAGACACAATTGCTGTATTGAAAACTTTGGCTAATGCAGATGCGGCTGGTGCCTTGTCACTCCTAGCTAAAAATTAGATGGAGATATTTGTGAAAAATTGGAATAAAAAGGGGGGAGGAGTTATGTTATTAAATAATTGATCAAAGAAAGAGCACCACACCGCAGCATTTTGAAGATAAACAGTGTGGGCCAAAGGAGAAAAATCTCATTTGGGCAGCTATTTTTCAAAGTGACAAATCACAAAGACAGCGTCCAGTTGAAATAGAAAGAAATGGCAAACATAAGACAAATGAATTTTCTCTCTTACAATGACATTGGCAGACATGAGGAGAGAGAACTGACCCAGGCATTCAGAGCAGTATAGGTGGAAGATGTAGATGTCACTGATAAGGCTCATGTCTCCTCAGAATCAAAGGTAATTGCAGCCTAAATTACACTTGGAAAGGTCTCATCAAAAGAGTGCAATCACTGTAAGGCATTAGTACTTTTCTGAAAGCACCCTCTTTGGTGGGAGAAAATTTTGAACCATTTGTGTTCATTTATTATTTGCTCCTGCACTTTTTATGTTCTAACCAAGATGGGGGGGTTTTTTGTTTGTTTTATTTTATTTGTTTGTTTGTTTGTTTTGGGATTTTGATTTTGCTTCATGTGCAGCCTTCTTTCATAATGTGAGGAAGTCATATCCATCCCTACTTTCCTAATGTACAGTATACCTGTGCTAATCCGCACCTATACACCTGGAAATGTCCAGGTGTTACCGATCTTCACAAACTGGAAGAACACAAATCTTTTACATCCATGACTGTCGCTTAAATACTGTATATAGGTGGTACAGTAGGGAGTGTGTACTCTTAACAATTACAAACATGACATGAAAATGTTTCATGTAGCATTAAAACCTTACTGTAGCTTTATAACTGCAAAGAGTCCACAAAATTCCACTAACACCAAATCAGTCTCAGCACATCACAGCCCAGCTCAGTGTATTTCTGTCAAATGCAGACCTGTTGTCCCATAGTATAATAGCAGGCTATTATATTAACACTATGAATGGGAGATTGTGGTGACAGGAATGTCAGCAAAGTCTAGTTCCCAGCCACAAAATGCTTTCAGAGCTAGACACATGGAGGAAGACAAAGGCTAAAATAAAAGTCAGTAATAACACAACAACACAGAAACACAAACTATAATAGAACAGTGTGAGGGAAGCTTAAGGTGGGATGTGAAAGACCACCAGCTCTAAGCACCCAGGAGGGAGCTTGAGCTAAGGAGACCAAGGAAAGATTAACAAGTGAAACCTATTTTTCCACAGATTTGACACAGCAACCCCAGACCGCTGCTTCTCTCCACCCACTCCCTCAGCTTGCCACCATCTAGGCATCGGACATGTGCTGTGGGTGGTGTAGCTCGACAGGTTCTCTGGGTTTTCTTTAAAGTTAAACCAACAGAATGGAAATACATGAGATGGACGAACAGAAGTGTTCTTAAGGAGCTTCAAAATGCTCGGTGTATGCCACATAACTGCTCGACACCAGGACACTGTCATTTCTACTGCGTGCATTTGAGGCAATTAGGTTGAGGATGAGTGCAGTGAGCTAAAACGCAAACGCTGGCTCTGTCAGTGCAGGTGCAGAGGGGATGATGAAACATTGTGTGCATTTTGGTCAGTGCCTTCCAAAACATCTCTGTGTATTGCTCCTGTGTCTTTCACTTCTCCCAATCATTTATCACTCAGCCCTCTCAATATGAAGACGTTTTCCTTCACAGTGTGCTAATTAGGAATGAAAGACATATACTGAATACGTTAACATCAATGATACATCAATGATTTCTGCAGCAATGCTTCAAGACTGAGCCAGGTAAGAGTTTGGCACCATTTTAATGTAAGCACCGAGGCACCTGTCTCAATACAATGTGTATTTTAGAGTTCCTGAGCTATTATATCTGACTTTTCTGTGCACCTGCTCAGGCACATGGAGCATTTTTAGCTATCTTTGTTGCAAACACCTATATATATTTGCGTATCTGGAAACATTGCTGTGCATACGTTTCCTGCATTTTCAAATCGGAGTTTGAATCCTTATGCGAATTGCACCTAATCTTGCACTTGACTGTACTGCAGATCCATAGACCTGTGAACAGTTATACCATCATACTGTATATGTCAAATATAATGGAAGTACAACTCATTTCAATACACTTTTTTAGGGGAAGGAAAGAAAAAGAGACATGGGAATGTAATAGCTCAGTTAAACACCTCCCACGTCCTCTGAGATTTGAATCAACACCATTGTGACAATAAAATTTTGTCTCAAATAAATAGAGTATGCACCCATGAGACCCTCTCAACTAAAATAGATGTGCACCAGCATGAAGGAATAGGGGCACATAAACTGGGAGGACAAGATACAAAAGCTCAGAAAAGTCTAGCTATACTCTAGGAACAGACAGCTCAGGAATGGTCTGGCGTGACCAGTAGCTTATTGTGGCTATTGTTTGCTAAAGTTAGGAAAGCAGCTATAGTATGTACTGTGGTTTAAATGACTCTCCTCTTCTTGTACTACCAATACACTATGTTTTACTATTTAAAATGTTTCAGTAAATATATCGTATGTGGCCACAGTAGCTGCCTCCATACACTGTAGGCTTGTTTTAAATAACCAGGCTTTGGACAGGTAATCAGTGAACTGGCTGCCTACTCTCCTTTTCAGCTGCGCTTAGATAAAAGGGTATGTCTGTCAGACTGAAGTTCACTTGCACAAAAGGTCTATGTCTTTTGAAGTTGTGGTTTTTATATTAGCGGGGGGAAAAAAAGAAGGCACAATGCAATTAGAGAGTAAATGGGGGAAGACTATTAACCACTTGTTCAACAAGGGTTGTGACAGCTATGGGGATGAAATGAAAGCTTCTGTAAGTATCGCTATGGTTATTAAAAAGACAGCCCAGTGCAGCTTTAAAATTAATTATGTTGTCAACAGTTACAAACTTTGTGCTAATGTGCATGTCGGTTCATAATTTTGAAACAACTGATTAACATTTTGATATGAGGTAGAGCCAAAATTATGTTTACTATCAGTAGTTGTCTGGGCTTGACTCAGAGTTGACGTTCAGCTGAAGTTCTGGTGTTTTGTTCTGCTGCTAACTCAAAGACTGGCCTTGTTGAAGAGTGGTCAAATATCTTGTAATACACAGTTCAGTACCTGTGATTCGATCGTACTCCAAGGAGGATTAATGCATAGGTTTGCTTTACTCCTTATTGTGTAGATGCCAGTCAACATATTGATAGACTTTTCTGTTATTCTGTCAGGCTCCTGTATTTTCCTTTCATCTGCCCTTGAAATAAATCCACATTGCGTTGTTTATCCAATGCTTTTTACAAGTGTCATAAAACAAGGCAAAATATAGAGATGGTTAGGAACAAGTGAAATGGGTTATACCATGCAGGACTGCCATGGTCTGCTTCAAGCTATTTATTTTATCCCCTGACAATTATTTCAGAAGGTGAAACGTTCTCCCCCCCACAGGGTACATGAGAGGGTGGCCGAAATGAGCCTGTTTTCCTGCACAGCTAGTGAACAGCAAGAACAGCTCTCTCTGGGAGTCAGTGATGTAAGGGAGGGGGACAAAAAGCTAATCGGGCATGATAATCCCAAACCAGCTCTAAGTCACATGCAGCTGCTTTAATGATGTACATTCAGACAGTAAGAAAGGACAGTGCAGAAGGTGCTGTCAATGGAATAACAAATTTATCTCAGGACTTAGTGTTTGAAAGGGGAGGTTCTTAGGCCATTCACAGTCACTGTGCCACAGCTCTGTCTGTTGTACTGTAAGATAATGGTGTTAATTTTGATAAGAATAGGGGAAGGAATTGAGGGGAGGAAATTCTTTAGGAAGCCATTAACGTAATCTTGTGTAGGATTAATTCTAGAGTGCAGCGGGAGTGCTGTGAGGAGCAGCATGGAATTTATTCACAAAGCATCTCCTCCTAATTTGCAGTTTAAAATGTAAAGTGTAATTAAAGACACTATGTCTGACTAAGGGGGAATCATCAGTGAACGAACATCTTCAACCTGACTGGGGACTTAAAAGTGAGTGGGGACTTGCTGCTAAGCCACATACAGTAACACTAGGATTATGTATTACACCCTGATCTTATTTTCTGTGTTTACTCACAGAATTTGCACTTGAATGTCATGTTTTTAATTTTGATTATAATGTTGATTGTTAGAGTAATAATGAAGATACATTACATTCTGAATTATGCTGTACCTCCTACTATAGGCACTTCTCTTATTTGTCTTTGCAGAGCTGCAGTTCTCATGGCTCATCTGTTAAGGGCAGCAGTGTGGCAGCAGGCACATCATCGGTAGCCCCACCTATTCTCAGCAGAGCACTATCGAAGGGGAAACGCTTCAGGTGAAAATGGGGCATCCTTTTATTTCCAGCCCTGTTTCATATCTTTTATCCGGTCAGGCTCTATCCAGACATGAGGCAGAGTCAGGAAATTTAATCATCCTACAAAATGGTAGAATATATAGACCTTCAAATAATAAATAGATCATTTGTAAAATTGTTAGAAAGATTTATAGTGATTATAAGTGGGAGCAGCTAAGTTAATATCTTGGGTGCACTGCCAGCACCATCAACCTTATGCCTGTGTGTATATCCTTAGTTTGAATCAGACATTTTAGGGAAGGATTATTGATTTACCTAGTTTCATAAAAATAAAATTAGAGTCTCTCATAATAGTCGAAAGTAGATGTCTTTCTCGACAGGGCATGCCCAGTAAATTATGCAGAGTGATTAGATACAGGCAAATTCTGAAGTGGCTACTTGCACACTGACAGGGAAGAGCATAAGGCAGAAAGAAGGCGAAGGCAAATTTAATGTGCCGAGTTAAATACTGATTCAACTGAATTGCTTTCATGCCATACTTCAAATGGCAGAAGAGTCAACAAAATTAACATTTTGCTACAAGGAACCTCAGAGGCAGCTGTGCTTTGTGATCACAGCAGTCAGTATCAAACACTGCCATTGCTAAATCCTCAGAGGAACACAGGGGTGTGGGTATAGAGCATGTCACAATGGCCCTATCTGGGACGTTTACAGAAAAGCTTCATTTGCTTTGATGATATGTGTACAGGCCCGCTTTGACAATTAGCAACATCCAGCCACACAACATGCAAGAACTCATTTAACAAATGTTTATTTCCCTTAGCACAATTACACCCATTGTTGGCAAATCATTACAGGTGTTTGATAGTTGGTAGGTGTGCGCCTTTCAATAGTTCTGAGGGCGTTGAGCAACACTAGAAGCAACTTTAGATAAGTATTATGACTGTACTGTATAATGGGATGCAACTGAGGCTGTGCAATAGTCTCCACACATTTATTTGTAGTCTTGATGCATTTTTATGTGGATTAGATTAGCCTTCTGCCTTATGTAGCAGCAGTTGCATGGGGGGAGACAGGGGGAGCCTCAAAGGTTGTGCGTATACGGGCAGAAGGTCTTTTTAGCTGTTTCGTTGAATATGATGCCAACTTTGGTGAAACCCCCCACTGAGAGGGCAGTTGTTCTCTGTATTAATGGACCAGCGCTGTGTCACAGAGGCCACTCATGACAGCCCCTTTCAGGTGTGCAGCTACGGGGATGGTGCCAACTCCCCTCAGCTTTTTATTCTTCACAGTGTGATGCGAGCGCCTCATGGAGAACAGCTGAACAGCTGACAGTCAATCATCTGGTCATCTTGTTGTCAGAGTAGGAGGAGGCAGGGGAGAACTAGACTGTGATGGATGGTGTTGAGATGCTTTCAGCTGCTGACCTGAAACACTGAACCACATTGTGAGCTATCAAGAGAAATGCCCCATAGAAACACGTCAATATGGTCCATCAATGTTGCAATAAAATTTTACCTGAGCATCATAGGTTTTATCATTAGGTGTGAGCTTGTGCACATGCAGACTATGGGCTCTGATTTACTGCTGGTGCAAAGCCGGTGTAGCTTTAAACACAGTCTTGCAAGTTTTCTGGAGTGTAAAAAGTAAAAAGTAAAAGCTTTTTTTCATTCACCAGGATTCCTTTGTCATGATTAGATTATGAGGAAAATGTAGTCATAAGATAATCAACAAGGCTGGATTATGGACCAGGCCAATCTTGCCAGTGCCCCAGGGGTTCAGATTGCCAGGGGCCTTGGAAAGACACAGGGCACACTCCTTCTGAGGCTCCCGAACGTCTAAGGCTTGTTCCATTCTAAGGCCGTCAGAAAGCCTCAGGCCACATCTAAGGGCCCCTGACAGTCTGAGGGTTTCTGAGACTCCTGTAGGGCCGAGGCCATGGGGCATAACCTATAAGGGCTTCAGAAAGCCTCAGACGTTCTCTCTGGCAGCCTAATGCTTTTCCAGACGAGGCCGGAGGGCTTCTGAGGCTCTGGAGATGAACAGAGAAAATGTATGCTGAAACTGCTATTGCAGACTTTGATGGAAGTAAAGAAAGTAGCATTAACAAAGAATGCATTAACAGCTTTCATGTCTGAGTCGTATGTCACCACTGGTTGGTTTTTTTTTTTTTTTTTTGGTCAGAGTGGAGGGCAGGGTGATGAGTCCTAAAGTCCAAAATCCAATAATCTGAATTTTAGGCTCAAAAATTCTTAATTGCTGGGTGGATGGGGTAGGAGGGCCTCCAAAAATGAAGTGACCCAGGACTTCCCAGGTTCATAACCCAGCCCTGCTAATCAGTATTATCGCTTTGGGTCAGTAAGCACGAGTTTTTCACATGCTAAGAAGGAAACACACTGTGAAAACTAAGACTGTATTCTGTTCATGTGACATCCTGTTTTTAAGTCAGCTCAGGTCCTTTGTCACTTGTCATCCCCTTCACTCTCCCAGTTTTGTAAAATATGTGCTGAATTACTGTTCCAGCCAGGTGTACCCATTTAACATCAGAAGGCTGTTGCCTTGGTGAATTGTAGCGATAAGCAGCTGCCTTTCAGTTTTAGACCTTTAACATTTACATTCAGTAATTACAATAGCCTCATGCTTTTGCTCACAGAAACATAGTTTAATTTGTCCAGTTTTCAGTTAATCCTAATTAAAAAATCAGCATGTTAATATCCAACAACACTGATATCATTCAGCTTTATTCATATTAACTTTTCACATCAATCAATAGAACAGCTACAGTAATGCTGGCAAAGACTAGAGCCAACATTAGCCATGCTTATTGTTCCAGAGCCACAAACATTTGGAAATTATTGAAGCAAAATATTGTTTTGCACACTGTTCCAGTCTGCTATCAATTAATAACCAGATGTCTACTGGACTTTGTAGTTTACTGAATGATTTAAAATGAATAAGGGAGTTCAGTTTAAGGACAAGCTAGAAAATAAAGGTTGCACATCTTTAGTATTTTTTAAACAGCAAAAAGAATCAAACAGTCCACCACTTTACAGATGCACAGTTTTTTGTAATCTGTTGCTGCCTGAGGCCAAATTGCCTGACGGCCACAATCAAGCTGGGAATATGTTTGCCACTGATTTGTGTGTAGCACAGTAGTTTTCCTTCTAGCAGTAATAATACATATCTGCCTGAAATGTCTGGCTTTGGTGAACCCCTGACTTTTGATTTAGCACTATTATCAGGACAAAATTTCAATTTTACCAGTACTTTGGTTGATGACAAAATACTTTCAGAAACTGGCATTCAAATCTAAATGTCAACCTGTTAACAGGCTAAGCTAAGGTGGCGAACCTGGTCAGTATTATATGTTAATCACAAGAGCCTGTTGTTGGTGCAGGTATGTTAGTTTGCTGATGTTAGCACAAAACAGTAAAGCCTCACAGAAGATGCTATGTGACCATGGCGCTGTAGAGTAACCACTGTCTCTCCTCTTTTTGACTGAGCTGTGACTCATTACTTAAGGTTTGTGTAACTTGTATTGCTCACTGGTAAGTTAACTATTCTTTTCACATGTATCTGATATCCCTGTCTGATGCTTAGACATCAGGTCAACCAAGGTCATTTATGCAGAGTCAGTTGATTGTGAAATATTATGCCTATTTTTACACTAAGACATCAAACAGAAAGGTCAGTTCCTTCCAGTCCATTTTACATCAATGGACACAGAAGATGAGATAAATTCGATACAATAAATGAATTAGTAACTGCTGTTTGAATTTATGAAGCTTTTGTGAAATAGTGTGTTAAATCAGTGATATTTATCTCCTTTATTTGCAGGAGTAGTTCTCTTTCTCTCAGTCCTGCCCAACAGCGAAGACAGACTAATTACTTCAGAACCCCACCCATATCAAGAGGGAAGCACAAAATATCTACAAATTTTACTGATGGATCCAGAGCAGCTGGACATGTCTACAAACACTTGCAGGAGGATGAGTCAACAGATATGGAGTTCATAAGGAGGTGGAGCTTTTTTCTTTTTGTTACCTTTGTCATGTTTGTTTCTTTGTTCCTCAAAGAGGATCTTCTCTTTGCCCTCCTCCAAACTGAGGTCAAATATCCAGTTCAGTGATACAGACACCCAGACTAACTGAGGTTAAGCTGGAGTGCCAGAGGGATAATTTGGGGACAAAGGGCTTTATGACTGAAATGCTATCAGTTAAAAGCCGTGAACTTGCTTATGAAATCTGATCCTGGGAAATATTTGAGACCTGCCGTGCCCTCCTTCCACTGCAAGTGTCGCAATTAATTTGGCGAACACACTTGAGCCTGACCGCTCGACAGCATTATGTTGCCAGGGAAGTCCAAGCTAGGAGTCTGTGTGTAATCCTTGCCACTAGGCCACTGCTGTGAATAAAAAATGGAATGTGTTTATGCATGCATGGTTTTATCAGGGTTAAAAGTGCAACAACTGTACCAATGCTAACCAGATGATACACACGTTCACTTCAATTTCAAGATTTCCATAATGGTTTGATTTTGGCTAATGCCTGAGCATTATGTGAAAGTATCATGGCTCACATATCCGAGAAATAATTTAATTTAGTGTCATTTACAAGCTGAATATGGAGCCATATTAGATTACTGGAGCCTTCAAGAACAAGTCCGCAAATCACAAAGGATTAATTTCAGGCATTTTTATACATCTTGAATTCTCCCCATGCTCTTCCTCATGTTGAGAAAGGAAGGCGACTTGCCCTATTTTCATGGCCATCATAAATGAAGCACAGCTACTGGTGCTGTTTCAGGAGGCATAAAAAAGAAGCAGGAAGGACTTTTGGCAGAGCCACTTCTCACTAGTTAGCTATCTGGGGGATTACGTCCACATTTTAAAAATACAATCTGATGTTTCTCCGTGGTATGGGTTCAGAAAGGTGGTTTGATGTGAAATCCTCTTTGACACGTTTGTTATCAAAGAGGAAAGGTTTGCGCCCTGTCCTCAAGGATGGAAAAGATAATCCATCTAGAGACAAAGTTTCACATTATTTCACATCAGTGAAAACTTTTCTTTTGCCTCAAAGATTGGTAGATTATAAATAAGATTGATTGTTGTGTAACCGTTGCCAAAGCTGGAAAATATTTATCATACACAGTTCATTGAGGTGGTTGTTTTCCTCAGTAGAATAATGCATAATGTCAAGCAGTTCCTCTGGCATTTCCTCCTAACCAAGTAAAATTGAAAACATTGAATTATTTTAGGTTTTATTTACAGATGCAGAAGAGAGAGTCTTTAAACTTGAGTAAGGCAGCCCTATTTAGCATATAACTCAGAAACAGCCTAATTTGCTGTCGGCGTGTGCCATTTGAGCGATGGTGCTGTTATCAGGCACGTCTATCATTAAAGCGGTAGTGTCCCTCGTGCATTCTGCACTCTTAAAAGTGCCTAGCAATGTTCCTATTAGCATGCCAACCTGATTGAGGGTTACAGTGACTTGTATGATACACTGCAAGCTGCCAGATTCTTTATGTGACCTATTTCCATAATTTACATTTTTAAACAAAGCTTTATGGAGCTTAGCAGTTTCTTTCAAAAGCTTGTGTAGAGAGATCCTCCAGGAACACAGCAGTTTCCTTCTTAACAAATAAACACACATATATACACAAGCACACACACTCACACAAAAACAAACTAATGAAGAAACTAATGAGAGTGTTTTTAAATGACAAAGGCAAAATCTGTAAACTCTAGTTAATTAAATCACAGCTTTTTCAAGTGTTTAAGAGAAGAGCGGAAATAAGAAGGCTTCTCCTCTTCTCGGGGATGAGATTGCATTTGTACAGTTAAACTATCTAGATCTCATTAGCCATTCCCTTTTCTATCCATCAGTCAAGTATCGCTTTCACTGGCCATCAGGAGGTTGAAATGACCTATTTCTCAACTTACCAGCCTTGCACCACCAAGCTTACAGCCCCCTCCTCCTCCAGCCTTTACCTCTACCCTGTTGCCATGGATACACCCTCTCATCTCTGGAAATGAGAAAGGAGGAAAGGAGAGTGAGAGAAGGAAAGTGAGGAAAGAAGATGAGAGTGCAGCAAAGGAAAGATGAAGGCACAGGAGCACAGTGTGATAGAAAGTGTCAAAAATAAATAAATAAGCAGACAGGACAATGCTCTTCCATGTTTTCCATTTTGTGACCACAATACCCATTGCAGATAAGGACAGACTGAAGGCAAATGTATGAGAGTTATATCTAGATGTGTTCTGATCTGCCAGATTTACCTCTAACTTGCATTCACCTTTCTAATACCGAGGGAGGAGCAGGAAAGGAATTCAATTATTTAAACTTGGTTATGCTACAAACAGTCTCTGAAGGTTGACAGTAACACTGCCTGTCCCCTATGACTGTGCCCAGGTGATTCTAAATGTGAATGGAGTCTTCAGTAGCAGTTATATCTCCTGTGCACATGTGACACATATAGAAATGTGCCCACTTAACTCTGGAGAGGTTTTCCTGCTGGATTATTTTCCCACTGAGCATGAAGCTTTTCAAGCTGTCAGAAGTGTTTTGTGATACCCTCTCATGTAAAATACATGCTCAGATTTCACAGCAACAAACGCACCTACAGTACATTTATCGCAAATCACATGCTTAGCCTTTCAGACAAGACGTGTTCTACAGTATAGGATTGTGTAAAGAATCTCATGTCAGACACCACATTTAGAGCACATGTACAGCAGTCCAGTACTCTATAGGCCAAGGTCAGGACCCCAGCATCTGTGTTGCTAAAACCTTAAAACTCTTTGGTCATGCAAGAAAGGACATTCATACAGCAACAACACAGGCTGCTCATGTCAAGGACTGTAATAAAATGCTCTAAATTATGAAAAACAATACCTAAACTATAATTATGTTAGTGCACGGTGATGTTTTTTGTGGAACTGAACTGAAATGGTAGAAAGTGAATGACAGATTTAGCTCTATATTCTATATTACTTGCTGTCTTTCATTCCTCTTAGGAAATTAGTGCCTAGGACAAAAAGGTGACTATATAAATGACATGGGCTTTCATTTTCACGCTGTCATTTTTACTCTTTCTTCTGCCTAAAGGTGTGATTCTGCCAGCGGAAGGGTCAGCGCCCTCCTCAGCAGGACCGCTCTTTCTCACTTTGCAGCCCGAAAGGGATGGACTGAGGTCCCTTGCACCCGCCTGGATAAGGGAACAACCTTCCTATCACCCTCCTTGCATACCCGTTCTGTGCCCATCATTCCCTCGCTCCAAGCATGTGATCATGACACGGAGCACGCAAACACAAGTGACCACAGTCAAGGGAGGCTCCTCAAGTGGCACACTGTGCTGGCTGGAAAGACAGGGCTGCCCATTAGCAATTCTCTCTCTCTCCCTTGTGAGAATGCTGTGCTGGCACCTGGTGTTAAGCCCAGGGGTGTTAGTCCTCCTCCCACTACCACTGTTCCAATGGGATCAGAGAAGAATATTAGCTCCACACAAACACCCTGCTCCTTCGAAATTACAGTGAAACTCGCGCAAGAATTAAAACAAAAAAGCCTTTCCAGCTCTATGAAAATGTCTGGATCTCATCCCGAGATCCACCACAGTGGCACAAACACTCTTGAGGCCGGGACTGTACAGGAGTCAGAAGGGAAAATGATCCAGTATTCAGCCAGAGTTCTGCACACAGACAGTGGGTCCCCAGATTTGAAGACAGCAGGCCAAAGAGAAACCCAAGGACAGTGCCAAGATCAGACATCCCTCGTGTATAGAGGTGCAAACTGCTCCTTGGCCACCAAAGGCTCCAGCTGCAGAGGACCTGGGAATGCTTATGCCAAGCCCTCTGCAAGCTGATTGGATTAACTCTGTAAAGCTTCAAAGACACTGTTTCCATAACTGCATACCTTTGCTGGTGGCACAGGATGGTGAGCAGTCGGGACCATCTGTGTGGCCACACGGACCAATAGCAGATGGCCTTCGATTTTGAAGGAACAGGAACAGATTGAACTGCAGAGGACAAAAATACTGACACAACAAAAGACATCAAATTATAGAGGAAAAGAGACAAACAAATGCATATTGTGAATAAATGTGACTCAATAAGAAAAACAAAACCGTGACTTGAGTGGGAGCTTGACTTTAAACGGTGTGTTGAAAGAAATGCCACTATTTAAAAGGAGCTTCTACTTAGAAACCAAAATAGTGTGTCATCTCTATGTTGTTTCTCTATTGTAAAGAATTGAAATTATATATGTCATCTAATATATGTCATATAGACGTATATATATTTGACATACAATTGTGACAAAATAAAGACTAAGATAACAGTGTTAAGGGTTTTGTTCATCTCAGCCTATTTTCACTACATGATCTGAAGAAAGTGCTTCTTTTTACAATATCCACATAAATAACAATAGGGCAATCACATCTAACATAAACATGCTAATGTTATGACAAACTTGATCTGAGTGGCCCCTTTTTCTCCATGGCGACATACAGCTGTAGGATGCACTTCTTTTTTGAGCATAGATTTAATTATGTAGCTGGTTTGCTATTAACTCCCTTAAAAAAGCCACCCTCGTTAAGTATTGCTCATTGCTTAACATACCAGATGTCTTTAAACACCTGATCTCCAAGTGTGTGTGTGTGTGTGTGTGTGCGTACTGTAAATGTGATGGTGTGGGGATTGGCTGGAACTAATGAGGGTAAAGGAGGTGCCAAGGTAAGGAGAAAGTACTCCCCCAAAATGACTATGAAAGTTTAGAAAAGGAAAACACAAAATGAGCTGAGAATAATGGTTGGGTGATGGAGCACTAACCTAATGTATGTGGCACAAAAGCGGTTTCAGAGCACTTCAGAAATTTTCCATCTTCTCACTTAAGTGCAGGATTACTGTCTACATTCATTATTTTTCATGATGCACCTTATAATGCATCCATATGCTACAAACATAAAAGAAGATCCACTTCACTGTTCTGAATTACAACAATGGCCCTGAGGTCTGTGGATGGAAATGAAGCACAGCAGCAAACAAGCTGAGAACAATTCTTTATTTATGCCTCATTTACGTCGAATTCAGAATATCTGTATTTCCTCTGTTTCAGGGTTGCAATTACCGTTGGTAAGGTAAGTTGTACAGGATTTAAAACTGGGTATTAGAGATTTCTTCATCACTGTTCTGCAGAATAAAACTACCTTGAGTGTATAAGAAGGTTTTATGAAGATTAAAATGAACTTCATTGATCCCAGAGGGGAAACTGAGCCAAGGCAGCTGCACAGGAAAGATAAAATTACCATAAATAGAAAATATTTAGGTTTCCAAATTCATACAATGACTTTTGGCTAGACATAATTCACCACACCTTTCACAGACGTTTTTGATATTTACAGGTTGACTTAGTGCACTCATCCTACAGTGCAAGACCACAAAGGGACAATGTACAAATACAGACAGGTGCCAAATTAAAGAATAAATCTGAATACATAAATTGAGAAACATAATGAATGTAGATGCTTCATTACATTGTTTGATGACTATGAAAATGACATCGTTTCATATTTTATGGCCATCACAGTCACCAGATTGTAACCCAACTGCACACCAATGGGACGTTTTGGCCCAACAGCACTCTGCTATTATCCAAACATTAAATAGTGGAATATTTAGTGGAATAGTGGTGTTTCATTACTTCTGCAGATTTTCACAGACTTGCAGAATCTATTTTAAGAAGAACTAAAGCTATTCCAGAGGCTCATACCATCTTAACACCTTACTAAGAGACCCGTCTCTATGCACTGTCTATTCGTATTTATGTTTCAGGTGCACAAATGTGTATAAGTGGTTGTTCTTGATGTTAATAAATATACGCAATATACAGTATACAAAAATGTGTGCAGGAAGATAGGCAAGAAATAGAGCCTTGATTAAGCCACATATTTCTGTCCAAACCCGACCCGTGCCTGAGAGTGTGGTGTCCGAACCCGACATGCTTAAAATATATAATGTCTGAATCTGACCCTAGCCCGGCATAGCTGAGTCTGTACACTGTTATTCCCCTTGTCAGTAAACAAAGCAGACCTTTGAGTGCTCCAGTGGTCTAGCCTATAGTCTGACCTGCATATCCGAACTTGACCCAAACATAATTTCTAAATTTCTGCCCGAACCTTGGGTACCGAGGAGCCCTGTCAGCCTCGGGTCGGATACCCACACTCTAGCAGGAAAAGGTGGCACAGAAATCAACAGTATTTTATTTACTATTTTTACATATTGCATTTAAAATGTTGCATATTTTCTTTGGTTTACTCTCAAAACCAAAATGTGCACTGCCCATTCTTCTGTGTAATGTTTGTCTCATTTTGTTTCCAATGATAAAGTCATTAACTGTATTTGAATTTTGATTACATTTGGTAAGATGTGCCTTGTTTCAAAAGAGACGAAGAAAAATCACAATTGATAAATGTTTGTTTTTTTGTAGCCTTAATAAGAAATGATGCTATATGTGGCTCTATCCAGCAGGGCACCATACACTTGCAGCAGCCACATGAGACTGGATCCCACTCCTTAAAAAAATCTTTTTCAGGCTGATGCCATGTTGTATGATACATGTCAAAGCTCTAAGCCACTTCACTGCTCTCCTTAACTAGTGTCTTTGACTCAACTTCTTATTGTATGCCTAAAAGCCTCAAGATTGTAGTCAAATACACAACTGGAAATGATGAGGCTACAGTCAACTCCTGTCAGACAAGTCTTCTCCCAGTTCAGGACTAATGAGAGGGCATGTGAATTTGAAAGGGAGGAATTACAGCTGTGATTACAGCTTGCACTGGGAAAAATAGTTTGAAGAACCAATCAAAAGAGTCTCAGTTTCACTGTTAACCAACTGGGTTATCTTACTAAAAAATAAGCAGAAGAACCAGGGAAGATCTGCCTGAAGCTATATGACTTGGTGAACTGTAGCTATTACTGTAATCAAGACAAAGAAAGGGAGGTCCAAGGTTTAGTCAGTGAAAAAACATGACTGATTCTTGTTTGATTGGTTAACATTGTGTATTATGGATTATATTAGACATGGTCCAAAAGATGACTTTTTTTTCTCAAGAAATTGCACTTTTGTCAAAAGAGCAGCTTGGCCCTCACTTTTACAAAGTCAGAATTCTTGGGTCCATTTGTGGACAACATGAGAGGATGCCAGCTTGTGAGGGAGCTGCAGTGCACATATGCAAGGGCAAAAAGGAAGATTAAGAAGTAAGTGTCCTCATTACCTGGAATGAGACAGGTTTATTGGAGGTGGGCACTAGAGCCATTCCATTAATCCTCACTCGTATTGACTTGGTGTTTCTGAGAAATGTCGGACACACACAACACACACTGGTCTCCCTTGTTCAGTGTGAGAGGAATATAAATGTGCAAGAGCCACAGGGGGACAGTGAGGTTTCCCACCAGATGGCATGGAGATTATGAGGACAGCAGGCCACATGTGTAATGCAGGACTACCAGTGCGGATGTCTACTAACATCTCCCACCAGCTCCCCTCAATGTGGGATATCAGATGACATTTAACATATCCAGTGACCGTGTTGGTACAAGTGGCAATTTCATTCCTGGAATGAAATATCATTTGTTTTATTTTTTTAGGTGACAACTGCTGTACTCACATCTTACATGTGAGTATAGTACATTGCTTAGATCAAGCAGGATTTCCTATTGTACAACCCAAAACAAGAAAACAAAAACAGCAGAATAGTAAGGTATTCTGTTTGTGCACAGTGCTTTAGTGTAGCATTTTTTCTAGAACCGATGAATGTTTAATGTGGTAGAGGCAATAAAATTTGTTGTTTTTCATGCCATCTGCCTTTCCTACCTCATCTTGAACAAAAATGATCTCAAAAATAGAAAGGTGCACCAGCTCTACCAGCTGTACTGTCCAGTGTGGGAGGTGAGGTGAAATTCTGTAGGCATATACAAAATATTTGTATACACTTTCATAAATCTATCCTGTGTCCATCTATTTTATATGCCTGTATAAGATCAGTGGTTGCTAGTGGCAGGACCCTAGGGATGGCAAAGATGGTCAATGGCCCACCACTTCATACTGAAAGCACTGGATGGGTTGATGAACTCCTTACCTTTACGCTAACACCTCTATGAGGTTTACAGTTTTGCTGTCTTGGCAACTACTGGATGGTTTAAGACTAAATATCTGCAAAAAATAATGTCATTCCCATCAATTGGCATTTGAGCATTTGGCTCAAAACACTGTTCTCATAGCTGTTAGCATGGTTATAGTCTCTTGGTCTTGTTTCTTCATATTCTGTAGTTCAGCACACATTCTGTGTGATTGCTTTATAAGTGGTTGAAGATGGAAAAGTACCAGAGTTGGGAGTAAGTCACATATGCAAGTCACAATTAAGTCTCAAGTCGTAACCTTCAGGCCTCAAGCAAATCCCAAGTTACTGTGGTGACAAGTCAAGCAAGTCAAGTCATACAAAATTCAAGTTCAAGCCTAAGTCAATTCTCCACTCATGAATATCAAATCAAAGTCAAGTCTTTTACCAGTTTTGAGTCCTCAGATTTGTGACTTAAGTCTGACATGAGTCAAGTCATGTGACTCAAGTCCCCCACCTCTGGAAAATAAAAAAATAGCTATCACACCAGTCATGAGAGGACGACTAAATTAACCACACTTGTACCTGCATTGTCTAATCTTTTGTGGCTAGTGCTTCTAGTTTCTTATGAACAACAGGGCTAAATGGTGTGCAGAAAGAAAACCTTCAGCTTGAAGTCTGAGCAACTGACAAGACCTGACATTTACCAATAATGTTTTTTGACAGCAGGTTTTTTTTCTAATTAAAATCTAATGTAGCTGTCCTGGAAATATCTCACTGTGACATCCCATCATACTTTATAGTCAGCTACCTATGCAAATAAGACAAGGGCTCAGTTGTGTACTACGAACGCGGATCTCATATAGTGTTGTATTTATTTATTAGAGAGATTAATAGAGCAACGTACAGTAGCAGTTATCAGTGGAGCAGTGTTATTACAGTGCTGCAGCAGTTGACAACAATAGTCCTTGCTACAGTGCTGCCAAAATCAACAAACAAATGTTTACCAGCAAAAGAGAATATGAACTTCTCTTGGTATCACTGGCAACACAGAGTTTACACTGTGACACAGCAAAACAAATATTACAGAACTCCAAGTCACTGCTTGTATTCATGTGCACACCTTTTATCAGGCATTACGTGATAGAACTGTGCAAATTTAGACATTTAGACAGAAATCTATTGGGTGCCACAAAAATGTTTGACTTCAGGCATC